AATACCTGAGACTGGGTAATTTATTAAGAACAGAGGTTTATATGGCTTATGATTCTGGGACAGGTGCATCTGGCAGGGGCCTCAGACTGTTTCTACTCATGGTGGAAAGCAGCAGGCAGCTGGCTGGCACAAGCAGATCACATGGCAAGAGGAAGCAAGAGAGAGAGAGAGGGGAGGTGCCAGGGTCTTTAAAACAACCATCTCTCGCTGGAAATAATAGAGTGAGAACTCACTCATCAATCCCCCCACCTAGGGAGAGCATTAATCCATTCATGAGGGATTCATCCCCATGACTCAATCAGTTTCCAACGCTGCCACATTCAGGATCACATTTCCACATGAGTATTGGTGGGGACAACACATCCAAACTCTATCAAGTGGTTACTTTTCCCCCAGGAACTGTAAAAGAATACTGTAGGGTGTGTAATAGTCCACAAAGGACTCAGTTTTGTAATCTGAAAAAATTAAAAGTTGAAAGACTTTTCAGTGTGTAAGACTACCGGTTACTTTCTTAAGGAGGCAGTAAGTTTTAGATTAGGTTTTTGCAGCTAAAATGTCTTTTGCATGAAAAGAAAATGTTTTCAATCTTATGTGAGAGTAACAAATATAAAATTAGAAAAAGCATCACGTATTAGACTCCCTGTTTAGAAATGATAAAATGGAAATAGCTAAGCTACAACGTGTCCTTGACACATTAAAGAAATGCCTAAAATGCTTCATAAATGACCCTTTTGTTCCAAAGCACTGTTCAAAGCTGCTCCACTATTAATTTAGGCTGAATATTCTAAACTGTGGCTAAGGTTTTTAATATTTATTTGTGTATTATTAATAGTTTTGCTTTATTCAAAGGGGCTATTATCAAGTATTTTCTGTTAATCATGTGTATCTCTTAATGTTTTTCTGTGATAGTTAAATATGACTTTAGGCTGTAGTTCTTAGTATCTAATTAAGAACTAGGAATAAGGGCCGAGCCCGTGGTGCACTCGGGAGAGTGCGGCGCTGGGAGCGCAGTAGCGCTCCCGCCGCGGGTTTGGATCCTATATAGGGATGACCGGTGTGCTCACAGCGCTCACTGGCTGAGTGCGGTGCAGCCTCAAAAAGGACAAAAAAAAAAAAAAGAACTAGGAATAAAAAACTATTAGGACTGTGTCATCTACTCCTAGGTAAATCGCAGTTGTTGAGGGCTGGTTTCATCATCTGAAAATGAGTTCTTCTCATTGATCAATCCCCTTCGTCAGGGTCTCATAGGGAACTGGTTATTGGATCATTTTTACGATTGGCCTTGAGTACCACATATCAGTGTTACCCATATCCATGGATCCCTCCTCTGTGTTGTAGAATTATTTGTAGGTCCTTCTCAGACACAAGGTAAAAGCTCTGAAACAATTCTCTGAGGGCCTCTAGCATTAAGAAAACAAAAAACAAAAAAACCCAGCTACCACATATATCCACATATATTACTACTTTGTGTATATTATCACTAATCCTTTTTAAAAAATCAGTATGGAAGGTATAATGATACCTATTTTAAAATGAAGTAACTGGGCCGGCCCGGTGGCACACTGGATAGTGCGCCGCTTGGGAAGCGCGGTGGCGCTCCCGCCCCAGGGTTCGGATCCCACATACAGACCGGTTCCCGCTCACTGGCTGAGCGAGGCGCGGGAGCAACACCGAGGGTTGCGATCCCGTTGCCGGTCCCCGAATAACTGAAAACAAAAACAAAAAACGGAAAAAGAAAGAAGGGAATCAAAATACTTTAAAAAATCAAATATAAAACAAGGCAGTAATGAAGGAACTGAGGAACAAAAAAACATATGAGATACAGAAAACAAATAGCTAAATGGCAGAAGTAAATCCTTTATCAGTAATCATATTAAATGTAAATGGATTAGGCGAAGTAACTAAGTCTCAGAGATGTCAAAATAACTTCCTTAGGACTCAAAGCTAGTAAGAGATAGAGCCAAAACTGAGTAGATCTCTCTGATCCCAAAACTTTCTTCTCTGATTAACTTTTTGATTTTGAATATTTACATTGAACAGACTGTACATTATTGTACTCTGGACCTCCTACTTTAATATTCTCCTGAGATTTAGAATCGCATTGCTTGTGTTTGAATTCCTGCACTGGCTTTTTATTGGTGGTGGTAGTGGTGGTGGCTGGCAGGTGTGAGGATCAGAACCCTTGAGCTTGGTGTTGTAACACTGCCACTCTACCATTTTTGAGCTTTGTGACTCTGAGCAAATTATTTAACCTTTCAGTACCTTACATTTTTAAAATCTAGTTTATAAGATAGTGAGGATTAAATAAAATGATGAAATGACAGGGCCGGCCCGGTGGCGCACTGCTACAGTGCGCCGCTTGGGAAGCGCGGTGGCGCTCCCGCCGAGGGTTCGGATCCCACGTACAGACCGGCCGCTCACTGGCTGAGCGAGGAGCGGGGGCAACACCGAGGGTTGTGATCCCGTAGCCGGTCCCGGTCCGGTACGGGCGCAACACTGAGGGTTGCGAACCGTTGCCGGTCACAAAAAAAGACAAAAAAATAAAATAAAATAAAATGATGAAATGAAATGATATAAAGCACCTAGAATAGGTATCTGGCCCATAATAAGAGTTCAATACATGTTCATTGTTGTTCTTTTTATTTAATATTATAGATCAGTTTTCTGTAAGTACTCTTGGAACCTCCAGCTCATGCTTTATGTTTGTAGTTAACACCATCATTGTAGGTGATTTTTAGAAGTGTATGTATGATTTATTTTTTGTGGAAAAATAGAATTAAAAGATAATATGAATCTTTTCATGAACTATTTCAAGACCCCCTCATATAACTTTTCTGGTAAATATAACTAAATTTCTAACTTTATTCTTTTTACAAGCAAGTAATCCATACTCTTAAGCATACCTAGAACAGAGAAGATAATATGAAGTGTAGAGAAGGGGTGAAGTTGGAGCTGCAACTAGTTAAGGATTATTCCCCAAACCTCTCTACCACCAAATTAGATTTGTGAAAGATAAAAATTATCACTATTATCTCATTATCTAAAACTCTTGAAGATTTTTCTTTTGTTACTTTTTTATTCATTTATCTATTCAAAGATATTTATTGAATGTTTTGTCTGTGACCAACATCGTTCGAATTCTGATTAAGAAAAAAAATCATTAAAAAAATACCCCTGCTCTCATAGAGCTTAAATTCTAGTAGAGGGAGAAAAATAATAAAGAAGTTAAAAGAAATTTTGTTTTGTCTGTGACCAACATCGTTCGAATTCTGATTAAGAAAAAAAATCATTAAAAAAATACCCCGGCTCTCATAGAGCTTAAATTCTAGTAGAGGGAGAAAAATAATAAAGAAGTTAAAAGAAATTTTTAAAATAAAATTTTAAGTAAGGCAAAATTTAAAAAAGTAAATGATCACTGTATATTAGAAGATAATTGCTTGAAAAAAAATAAAGCAGGAAAGGAGGAGAAGGAAAGCCAAGAAATTGTGGTGGTAATGGGGTGTTGGATTTTTAAAGTGGGGTAATTGGGGAAATGCTTATGGAGAAAGTGAAACGTGAGCAAAATTTGAAGGACATTTGGGTTACTCATGGGTATCTGAGATGGGTATCTGAGAAATGAGCATTCTAGGACAGGGAGAGCAAATATAAAAACTCTAGGGTAGGAGCATGCCTGGCATTTTCAGGGGTTAGCAACAAGAATAGTATGGCTGAAATAGAGAAAGCAAGGAGGATAGTAGTAGGTGATAAGATCAAAGAGGCAATGGTGGCCCATGTTGTGTGGGGCCTTGTACATCAGAGTAGTAACTTGGCTTTGACCCTGAGTGAGATAAAAAGCCAATTCAGTTTAAGAGTAAAGGAGTAACATTATTTGACTGATGTTTTCAGAACCTGCTGTACTGAGAATAGATTATAGACGTAGGCAGGGGTGTAAGCGGGGAGACCTATTAGGAGGTTATTGTAGTAATCCAGGTGAAAGAAGATGGTGGTTCAGTTGGTAACAGTGCTGGTGGTGATATGTGGTCAGAAGTTTGCTATATATTTGCTGACAAATTGCTGGGGGACATTAGAGAAACAGAGGGGCTTGCTTTTTACTTTTCTTTTTTCCTAGATGCAAGTCACTGTTTTTATTAATGCAATATAAATATAACCATCTGCACCAGCCCTAAAGTTTCTTTTCCTAGTTTACTGGGGATTTTAGTTTACTCTGCAAGAAATTCCAGCATGTTACAGTTGAAATTACTGATGCTAATATAATACATAGAGTGGAAAGTATCTTAACAATCATTTATTAGTTTAGACCAGGGATCAGCAAATGGTGGCTGAAGGGCCAAATCTGGTTTATTGCCTGTTTTTGTGAATAAAGTTTTATTGGAACACAGCCACACCCAATCATTTGCATATTTCTACAGCAGCTTTCCTGTTACAGAGGCAAGAGAGGTCCACACAGCCTAAAATATTTTCTATCTGGCTGTTTAAAGAAAAAGTTTGCAGGCCCTTGATTTAGATCATTTTTTAAGAGCCCTGTCTCTTAATTTTTAAATTAAGAAGTTTTTTCTGATCTTTTTTCAACCACTCAGAGTATTTAGATACAAAGAGAAAATTTTAAAGGGGGCATAAAATGATAATAGAGAACAAAGAGGTACTATTCAAATACTAACATCAACTTATTTCTCTCCCTTTTGATAATCTACTTAATTCTTTGCTTTGGGTATTCATTTCCCCCGTATCTCTAGAGAGCTTTTGTGTTAAGAAACAAGTGTAGCTGACTGGCCTGAAAAAAAAGTGTGTTTTCTCAACAGTAAAAATTTATTATAGGAATGAATCTTGGATGACAGAGACTAATTTTTTAATTTCACAGCCTTGATAGAAAATAAAAGACGAGTACCGCCTCAATGTGAGCATTAATTCTTATGAAGAATTTGGCTTTCTTTATATGCCTTTGTGTAATCCAGTGAAGCAGTATGAATAAGTTAGACCTCCAATGTTGTTTGCTTTAATAGGTCTATAATGACGGATCTATACTACCTCAGTCAGACAGATGGAGCAGGTGACTGGCGGGAAAAAGAGGCCAAAGATCTGACAGACCTGGTCCAGCGGAGAATAACATATCTTCAGGTAAGAAGGTTAAGTTAAGAATTAAACCTGAGTGAAAAAAAAAGAAGGAAAAATAATAAAAGTAGGAATTGCTGTTGGTTTTTTGTCTTCCTACCTTGCTATCCTTTTGAAAGTACTTACTCATTTTACATGTTTGTTCAGAAAGACAGTGTTATGCCTTGTGTGGAATACAAAGATGTCTAAAACAACATCCCTGCTATAAAGGGGGCTACTGTTTACACACACACACACACACACATACACACACGAACACACACACACATACCCTATAATACAAAGTAGAACATACTACATTTTATAGGAGAGAAATAGATGAAATGCTTATGGGAGTTTTGAGGAAGGAAACATCAGGGATAGTTTTGTCGAGAATGTATTATTTGAACTGAACTGGAAAGGATAGGTAGGATTTGGACACACAGAAATGGAGGAAAAAAAACACACCAGCTGGCAGATGTGATGTGAGCAGTGGTCTGTGCCTGGGAACAAGCAGTACAGGAACCCATGTGAGAAATGGGATAGATCAGTTGGTCTGGAATTTTAGGTTGTTTGAAAAGAAGGGATGGAAAAAAAGCTGGAAAGGTAGGTTTGGGAGTCAGGTTACAGAGGTTAAGCTTTATGGTGCATTAGTAATAAATAGTCACTGAAAGATTTTATTTGTTTTGTAAAAGTCATTATAACAACAAACAGGAAATATTGGTAAACCCCAAGTCCCAGGCCTTTTAAAATTAATTCTCTTAATTTTTTGTGTTCTTTTATAATTTTTATTGATATACATACACAGTCGTAAATATTTGTGATGATAGATTTATTAACTTTTGAATTTTGTTTTTCTGCTTAATGCACCATAAACATTTTCCATTTAGAGTCACAACCTACTTTTGGAAGGCTTTTACACATAAGAGCAGTGTGATGAGAGTGGCACACGAGTAATATTAATCTGAAAGTAGTATTCTGGTTGAACTGGATTAGTATTTGAAGAGACTAGAAGCAGGGAGACCATTTAGGATAAGAAGACCATAGTGCAGGTGAGAAGTGTTGAGGTATGTGGCAGTTTGCTTTGGAAGTGGAGAGACAAATTTGAGAGAGATTGGAAAGATAGAATTGATAGGCCTTATGAAATAGGTGGAAGAGGTGAAATAGCTAGGATAATAGGAGCATCATTAACTGACAAGGAACTGAGAGAATAGTTTTCAAGGGAAGACAGTGAATAAGTAGAATTCTTCGAAATTCAAAAATCCTTAAGTTGAAATGACCATGGAACATCTTTCATCCCCGTCCTTTTCTAATGCCATTGATGGCATTTCAGTGTACGATCATTCTGCTTTCCCTTTAAGGTTAAAGTGTCAGAATAACAGCCAGTGACATGACTCTGTATATTTTAAGGTGTACATTTTCCTGCACTTAAATAGGAAAAAATAGAAAATCAGGTGTTTAAAAAGATCATTAAAAACCAAACTGATCTTGGCATGCTGTCTTGGTCTCATACTCCTGTGGCCATTCGTAAGAGGTGTCTGCAGAATGAGAAACACTTCGCCTCTGGTAAGAAAGAGGTAATTATCTACTATCAACTAGAACCTCATTCAATGAACTATAAACATCTGATGGTGCAGAGCCATCATCCTTATTTAAAATGAAATAACTATTGTTTTTGAGTGTCTTCCATTTCTACATATTCATTAAATTTTCACCAACTATATTTAAACTATGATCTGGTCATGTTCAGCTCCCTGCACTGTAACTGTACCTGCCACCTACTTTTGTTTATTTTTCTCTTGTTTTTTAGGTGGCCAAGTACTTCCAACTGTAGTGATAACTTGATCCTCTATATGCTGATTTCTGTGGTTCTGTATTAGAGAATTTCACATGTAAATCATGTCGATGATTTAAAACTACATGGCTTTTTTTATCTTTTAAACCATAGCAAAACTTAGCATTTCACTTGGACCTTAACTTCAGTTTAAAATACTGCTATCTAACAAATTCTTACTTTCATGCTGTTCTTTTATTTTTATTGTAAAAGAAAAAGTGATTTTTAATCTTCAAGGACATAGGAAAATCTCAGTAGGAAAAATATACTTTGGAAAAATATTTTTCTTTAATTATTTAATGAATTTATAATCTCTGTTTTCATCTAGACTAAAAGTCCTTTGAAGTCAGGAACTATATTTTTAATATGTTATTTGTTGAAGGTTAAAGATACCACTTATTCAGTCTTCCAATAAGAGTCCTTTCCCACCAAAAGTTCAACAAAATTAAACATATATATTTGTAAGGAATGTTTTCTCTGACTGAAATTTTTATCCCCAGTACATTTTAGGCCCAATAGCTACTTAAAAAACAAGAAAAACAGCAACAACAAAAGATTTATCAAGTGGATTGGTTCCTTTAATCAGAAGAGTTGAACAACTTATACAGATAAAATGTGACTAAATTTTTTCCCTAGTACAACTTTTCTTGGTATTCAAGTCTATTTTGTGTTCCCTTACCATTACTTTAAAGTGAAATGTTACTATAAAAAAGCTATTTAAGTAACTTAGATTCCGAAAGACTTCAAAAAGACTTAGAAAATGAATAGGACACTGGGAAATAAAGCCTTTAAAAACAGTATAAAGAAAAAAATCTTTGGCCTTTGATAACTATACTCAAAATAAAAATTATAAGCAGTTCATACAGCTTATTAATGGAGATTTTTTTTTTTTTTTTTTTTTTTTTTTTTTTT